GAAGGAAAGCTTTACTGTACTGAGGGCACTGGGCAGGGATCAGGAAAGTAAGGGGCACACGCTTCACCCAGTCTGGGCAGAGACTTTTAGAGTACTCACTGGGGGATTTAGGGCCTGAATGGAATTTCTAATGGGGAGGACAGCTCATTGACTTAATAGGTCATCAGTGAAGCAACCAGAAATATTAACAAAATTCAACCACTGCCAACCAGCAGAGATCAGAGCAGACCCACAGCTCTAAGATGAGATGACTGCTGAAGCAGCAACCTGCCAGAAGGGCAAAGGACACATCTCAGGCACTGTCCCCAACCTGAGCTGGGGCTCCTACTGGAATAGAAAGAAGAGAGGGAGATCATCCATTCTGAATGTCTCAAGTCAGAATATAGTATTTTTGAATCGAAGCTGGGAGCTGGGAAACATGGGTGTGAGGTGCATTTATGATTGGCTGAGAGTGGGGAGGTGGAGGCTATCAACCATTCCTGTGCTCAGCAAGTGGTGAATGTATGTTATTGGTGATGGGCCTATTCTGACCTAGGCTTCCCAAAAGCATGAAGCCGACTCCTTGTCCCGATAAAACCCTTTTAATTAGTTTAAAGTGAATTCCTCTGCAGCAAAGTCCCAGCCAACAGTCTTTCAAGAGATTTCACAACTACAGACCTTTATCAGGCTTGGAGAGCTGCCAGTTCGATATCTTCCAAATGCTACTCTGTAGCAGACAATATTTGGCAAGAAGTCAGGAACACATCTTAACCCCCTTTCGCTCCTCTTTATTCCCTAAGGGAAGCGCCATTCACCGTCCACCTGTGGCTTTATTCCTGAGTCGACCCTTGTTCCTTAGCTGTTCCCTTCTCCTGGCAGCTCTGTGCATATGCACACTGGGAAGAGGCTCCAGTTGTTTGTCTGCCTCACTGATGTCCGATTCTGAAGGCAGCTGATAACTGTCAGACGGCCCTGGCCCCATCTCTGCCTCCGACACAGAGCACTCATCAGAGCTTTCCCCAGACTCCAGGACTGACCCATGTTCCTCCTCAACCTCCTCACTGTCTGAGTCTGCCACCAGCTCTGCTGGCTGCTGGTGGGCCACAACAGGGCCAAATAGAAAGTGCATCTTTAGGGACTTGTCCTCCATCAGGCTGACTCAACCCCTTTTGCTACATATACCGAAGGATAAATTGGATCCTTCCTCAAGTCTAGGTTCACAAAATGATTAGGAGTTCAGCCATATTTCAGTGCTAAGGCAGAAGGCTTTCTTCCATTGCACCAAAGCTACATTACTGCATTGCACCCAAAGGCAGAACTGTTCTGCTCTCTATAAAATGTCCAGCTGCCTTTGGTATACGGAGGATGATCTTCTGCCAATAGTATTGAAATATAGTTTGGTGGCCAGACACTGCATGTAGCAGGTGCACACAACACCTGCAACCTTAATCAGCCTCCTCACTCTTCTGCATGGTAGGTCAACTCAGCTTGGCTGCTAGTTAATCTGAAATGTATCAAGGATTAGATTCACAGGCGAGATGTGTGCCAATGTCAAATAGGTATGAACCAGAGTTATGGAAAGGCATTTATAGCCAAGGACACAGAATAGATAAAGAGAACAAAATTTGAAGGACACCGGAAAAAAATGTCAGGAAGGCAGTGTGCCCTGATTCCCTTCCTAAAGCTCATTTCTTGGAAGAATCCAACACAGCTATTAAGTGGTTTAGTTTCCAGACATAACTGTCATATTAGGGGAGGGTGGAGGTTTATTTAAAGGGAAGTGTTTCTTTTCTTAGTTTAAAATATGGTAAGGCAGCCCTGTTGCATCTGGTTCCTCCTTCACAATTCATTTTACTGATCAGGGCCTGAACTTCTGCTTTAATAATAGTTTGGAAAGGTTCTGGGTAGAGAAAGCTGACAACTTGTTGAGCCCTGAGTTCACTGGAGACAGAGAAATCCCTGTAGATTTAGAGATCTGTGAGGAAAGTGCTATGCTTTCCTAGACCTTGTGAGCTGACTGTTGGTTGGGAAATTGCTTTCTGGTTATACTACATAGCACAGACAGAGAAAAGAAAAGGGCATAGTCCCATTTGGGAAAGCAATTGCTGACAGGTTCTTTGGGAGGATGTATATTAGCAGAAGATAAACCACTGCAGATGGCAGCATCTAGTCAAGCTTGGCAAGTTTGAAAGAGCTAAGTGGGATCAGAACTGATTAGTACTTAAATGAGAGATCACAAAAGTCTGTGGACTATAGACTAAAAACCATTTCAGAAGAAGGTGATCACAAAGAACTTGCCACAAAAATAACATTAATAGTTGCCAGGACTTGAATCTTAATCAAGAGATTATAAATTTGCCGTCTTTCTTAACCCAATGGGGCGGTGGGGGGGTGTCTCTCACTGGTCACTGTTTTTGCCCTTCCAATCCAACTTACAAATCATAATGACTGGAAAGGAGAAATGTATGTACTTTAGCTTCCCTAGAATTAGTCTTTGTGGCACAGTGTCTTACATAACAACATCTCAACCCAAGGAATTTGCTTGGACTAAAAGACATGCAGGGAACTCAGATATCTACTCCAAGTAAAAAATGTGGGAAAACAGCAAGATCCCTCAGAATTGGCTTAACTGCCAATGAAAGGTGAAAATTAAATGAAGTAATAGCTTATAAAATACAGAAAAACATCCCTGCAATGACCTACTGACATTGTCCTACTGTGATATAGTTTCATTGGGGAGTATAATACAATTTGGGAGTCCTCCTAGATTCACAACGCCTGCTTCTGAGGGGATATTAGCAGAATTCTATCTTTTGCCTCAATTGTACCTGTTTCTGGACTGGTAACCTCTTTTCTCTGTCACTCAAATTGTAGACATTCCCAGTTTGATATCGTAATATACCCTATGTGGGGGATGCGTGCGATGGCTCAGTGGTTAAAGATGCTGAGTTGTCAGCTGGAAAGCTGACATCCCAGTTTTGAGACCCAGGTGCTGCGCGCTGGGGTGAGCTCCTGTTACTTGCCCCACCTCCTGTCCACCTAGCAGTTCAAAAGCATGCAAATGTGAATAGATAAACAAGTACCACTTCAGTGGGAAGGTAACAGCATTCCGTGTGCCTATGCATATAGTCATACTGGCCACATGGCCACGGAAAATGTCTTCAGACAACACTGGGTCCCTTGGCTAAGAAATGAAGATGAGTACTGTCCCCTCCAGTTGGACTGGGCAGGGGAAACCTTTATCTTTACTTTTACCCAACATGATGCTACCCTTGGAGACCTGCAGGCCTTGAGAAAAGCAGTGAAATCTTGGCTTCTTCAGGTGTTTGAGTCCGGAAGATAAGAATTCCTATCTGGAAGAGTGTACTAAATTTAAGTCTTTGGAAATTGATTAATTGTTTTTAGCTAGCATTGTTGAATTTTGATTTTGGTATTTTTTTTTCTCATTGCTCAGAGTTTGTATCAATTTATTGTTTGAATTACGTGCCCAAATAAATGCTCTCAGTAAATAAACGTGAATAATACAGGAATCTGTTTTTGCTTAATGTGCTATGGGTACAATTTTAGATGCACTCTGACTTTTTTTATCCAGAATGTCTCCCCTCAAATAATCTTGATTTGTGCTTGAGTTTTCCACTCCATTTGTGCTTTCTGCCTTCATTCAGTAGCTCTAACAGATGCATTTCTCTTATGCTCAACATCTGGTTCTGGTCCTACTTTATAGTTAGATAGAGCAGTGGTCTCCAACCTTGGCAACTTTAAGACTTGTGGACTTCTCTGGGAGTTGAAGTCCACAGGTCTTAAAGTTGCCAAGGTTGGAGACTACTGAGATAGAGCAATTTAGGATTCTGGAAGCTTGAAGCATATTCTGTTTTTCAAAGGTTCTGCGCTTTTCAGTAGGTTTAATAGCTTTATTGATAGCTGATGNAGCGCGCTTTTGTCGAGCGCGATTTTGTCCTACGCGCTTTTGTGGTGGAACCGGTGACTTTGCGTAATTGCATTTGTCTTTGCCTGTTTTATTTATTGTCATCTTTAATACAATTTTTAACCACCCTGAATGTTTCCTAATTTTAAGGCAACATATCAGTCCTCAGAACAAACACAGGATTTATGACTAGGGCTTACGCATCCCTGATTTCTGTATTTTTAGTCAGAGTGCTAAGCTGCTTCAAATCATTTATCAGATAGAGCCTGTTTCCTGGCAGGGAGCAAACACAGAAAATGCTTAAAACCAAACTGGATGTCATATTACTCAAGCAGTTAAAATTAATTCACACAAATTCTTTATAGAAATGTTAGCAGTCCCAAGGAAGCCTGAACAGCTTTGGGATTATGAGGGAGGGTAGAATGGAAGTGTAGGTTTTTCTCTGATTGCCAAAATCCCAACAAAATGGCCTCTCCAAAATTGCTGTTTTAGTTTCAAATGGTGCAAATGGTGGGTGTTGTCTTGCTGAGAAGCAAGCCACAAGGCCTCCCACGAGCAGGCAAAGGGCAAGGCCTGGAAGAAAATCCTTCATGTTTTCCAAGAGGAATTCATATCAGTGGTTGTGCTGCATAATTTCTTCAGGGGCCAAAATGGGCCTGGGCTTAGGCAGACTGATAATTTAGGATTAATTTCATTTAAAATGCCTCTTTTTTTAAAAAAAAATTGCATGTTTTCTCTTCAGGGTTTTTAAAATGAAATGTAATCATCATTGCGGAGTCTTTTGAGACAGTCTGATGTGTACAACTGTTACCACATGCCTAATAGAGGCTTCCTTGAATTCTAAATAAAAGCTTCAGAAAGACCAGTTTTGTCAGAATTGTGGCAGAGAAAAGAACAGGTTAAAATCCTCCATTCTCTCCATGCACACCCACCACAATCCCCAGCCTGCACAGGCTTTCCCTGTTTCTATTTACAGAACAAAATGTGTGCACTTTAATTGCTTTCACACAAATAACATTCCATTTGGTTTGAGTGCTTAAGAACTAGAATCTGGAGCAGAATGGGTGTACATCATTATTTTATTTTATTTCTCCAGAGTTGAAACATATACATCTGAGAATAATGAACTGTGGAAAAAGGTGGAGACGTTAGAAAATGCAAACAGGTGAGGAGAACCCAAATGTTCCTATCTTTACCAAAATGTCCTGTTAAGGAAAAGAATTGGGAGAATGCAGAAAAAAGATCACCTTGGATCCACCGCTTCCTTCGTGATATAAATAATACAGATGATCTTTAATTCACGTCAGTAGTGCATACGTGCCAGATTTTCGGATTTTATTACAGCAGTCTTAAAATCTGTATACAGGTAATCCTCGAGTTACGACTACAATTGAATCCAAAATTTATGTTGCTAAATGAAATATTTGTTAAGTAAGTTTGTCCCATTTTATGCCTTTTCTTGCCAGAGTTGTTAAGGGATTCATTGCTGTTAAGTTAGCAACAGGGTTGTTAAGTGAATCTGACTTCCCCATTGACTTTGTTTGCCAGAAGATCACAAAAGGTGATCACATGACCCCGGGAAACTGCAACTGTCATAAATATGAGTCAGTTGCCAAGCATCTGACTTTTGATCACATGAGCATGGGGATGCTGCAACAGTCATAAGTGTGAACAATGGTCATAAGTCACTTTCTTCAGGGCCGTTGTAACTTTGAATAGTCACTAAATGAACTATTGGAAGTCGAGGACTACCTGTATTATCTTTATGTACTTTCCTTAAATATTCACACATGTATATGCACTTCCTTATACATGCATGTTGATATGCAGTTTTATCAAGTATATCCTATATTTCTATATAACCTCTCCTATATCTCCATTAGTATATGCCACATACTGTAGTTTGCAGGCCCCAAAATGCTTCAAGTTGAATATTACAGGATTCACTATCCGTTCCTGCTACAAGAGATTACATTTAATGCATTCTTTGACTTGTCTAGCAAATAAATCTCCAATATATTTCTTTTACATATCTACTTTTTGATAGATGTTAGATTACCCGACAGGAACAGCTTTGGGTTTTCTTCTGTTCTAGTTGTTTTTTCCCAGCAATGAATCAGTTGCATTTGGTTAGTAAGTTTTAGGAATTTTTGTGTTGAGACAGCCAGGATTGAAGTTCTGTGGTTTATTTGCTGTTTGAATAATTGGAGCAAGGAGAGAGAAAAATAGGCACATTTCCTGGGTGTATTCCAACCCCAGCACTGTACTGAAATTCTACTACAAATGCCTTTCCAGACCAATTCTTAAGCTGACCGTTTCCTCTAAGGACAATTATATCCTGCAGCCAAAACTGCTTCTCAAGTATGCTGCCTGCAGCCTTTTCTGGGGGCAACTACAGAAATTCCAGTCTGAACTGGAATTGGAATTATAGTAAGACCTGGTTTGTTGTTCTTAGTGTCCTTAGTGTCCTTATATGGAAGGTAAACCTGATATCTGGCTAGTGGATTCTTGTGTGGAACAGTCTACCTTTCCTTTTCCTTTCAGGGATTACTCCTTCCTCACAAGTGCTGTGCCTTTTCTTTGCTTTCCCATGGATGCCTTCGTCTCTCTTCCCACATGTTCTCCCTTGATACTAAAGCAGACTCTTTCTTTAAAAAACATCATCAGCCACAATCCTTTGTGGTGTCATCATAACTCTGGTGCTATAAAAAACGGTTCACCGA